ATGGTACTTTTTCTGCAACAAGGAAACGAGGTGCGTATGTGACTGTGGCTAGAGATCATACATGCCAGGTTATTGCTTCTTCGTCAGGAAATATGTGTGTTGCCTCTGCATTGGCATCTGAAGCCTGGGCCATCTGGAAGGCGTGCTATTTGGCATTGACTGAAGGCTGGAGGTTTGTTATTTTTGAAAGTGACTCCAAAGCTCTCATTGATTCTTTGGTGCTGGGCCTGCAAAGTCATTGAGGGAGGTTGAACCACTTCAGCGTGATGTATATGGCTTCTGTCTTCCCAGCTCACTGCTGTTAATTTTCTTTTTGTCAACAGATCTGCTAATCACTTAGCTCACATGGTTGCTCATCTGACCAATTTTGGGAGTCTCTCTGTTGACTGATTTTTGAATCCTCCATTTCATGTGTTGCAACAGAACCAGCAGGATGTTCATGTGGGCATCGGTTAGTTCCTGTTGCTTATTTTTTTGTTGTAAGTATATTTTTTGTAAGTCTGTTTTATGAATGACCAAAAAAAAAAAAATGACCCAAAAAGTATAAATAAATAGAAAATGGGTTTATTCCAATATGGGTCATGGCCTTCACGGGTGGGCGCTACAGCATCATGGGTGGGCACCATTAGCTAGTACAACTAAAAAAAGTTAAAGATGATAACACATAGGCAATGATAAGAAAACTTTTAGGGTGGGCGAGTGCCCCCTCTGGGCTGCACTGGCTTCGCCCGTGATAGTGCCCCATATTCGAATTTCCATTTTCTTTCCTTTTTATTAATTTCCTTAAAGAAGAGGCAAACTACACCAATTTCAATTTTTATACACACACACACACACACACATTTGTGGTTCATAAACACACACTTTGAGTGCATTTGTCTTTGTGATTTCATCTGTTATTTCTATAGCTAATCATTTTTTGTACTTAGAGGTGTTCACCTTACCCTACAGATAAAAAATATAATTTTTTGTTTTTTTATCTGATATTTTACAGAAGAATTTTTTATTGACCTACCCTACCCGATCAAGTGTAGTATTCATATCCGACTTCTAGCTAAATTAATCAAGTAAGAAGTCGGATAAAAAATCGGGTGAACACTTTTATAGTTATTAATTTTTGGATCATTTTAACAATTCAATTAAATAACACGCATTAATTTAATAACACAATAAACCAATAACACTAAAATTTAAAACAATTACAATAAAACACAAGAAACTATAAATATCAATCCATCATAATTGTTGCACAAATACAATAACAATTATTTTAATTTTAAACCATATGGTTAGGGAATTATATATATATAAATTAATGCAGGTATAGTAGGAATACAGAAATGAATAATTATTCCGTATTCTTATTCGATTTTATCGGAAGACCAAAAACTCTTTCACATTCTTACTCGAATTTTTTGACTAGCCGTTCAATAGGGTCGAAAATTGGGGTTAATCAAAAATTTCAACACCCCTATTTACACCCATTCAAAGATTCCCTCTCTCTCTGGTTGCTAATTGCTACATCTCATATAAGGCTCTCCTAATAGACCTGCATTTGAAAGAAGAATATCTATTATCACCAGAAATAATTTTTTTTTCCTGGCACGACATAGAAAGAAGAACACTAAGATGGTGGGGCATAACCCCGTACAGATAGACAATTTCGAAATCTTACCTGCAAATTTTGTAGAACAGTATTTTAAGCAAATTTGCAAATTCTATGATGCCTTCTGTAAACATTTCATGAGAGACAATAACATCTAAGCAAAAAAAACAGTAAGGGCTTGACTATGGTACCGAAAAATAAAATTTTTGTACCATATCGAAATTTACTTATATTTGTGAGTATTTTTATCGCTGTGTGCTTTGGTAAATTTTTTTGTATCGGATAAAAGTGATAAAAACACTTGCAAAAGTAATAAATTATCCACAAAAATGAAAAAAAATTTAGTTATTAGTATACATTTTGAAATAGTAAATTTTAGAGGTATAGTACCGTAATCAAATCCAAACAGTAGACTGAACTTTTAAGAGTGTTGTGATTGAATTGTTGCTTACCTCTATGCCGAATGAAAATATTTACCTTCAGCTTATTCTGGCATTGAATTCAATAGAATTATTTAAGAGTGGAAACATAAATAATATTAGCAAATGCAAAAAACTATAACCAAAATCCCTGCGTCAAGGCACTTTATGAAAATTGGGAATTATTATATTATAATTGAGCTTCATGCTTGAAAATATTCGCAAAATTGTCACCCAAAAAGTTCTATAATGTGGAGTCAGAAATTTTGTTTAAAGCGAAAATATCTCAAGGAAGTTTTCCTGTAAATCTTTCATGAAATATTGACTCATAACTTGATATCGTCTCTAATGATGTGTGTGGTAGGGTAGATGAAACAAATAGAATGAATAAAAGTATAAGTTATATACTTTTTATCTTTTACGGGAGGAATTTTTTCTTCCCTCATTTGAGTTTGTTTGAGAGGATTGATTTTTTATGTTTGGTATGAAGAAAAAGTGGATAGTTAAGAAAACTACAGACACATATTTTACCATTGTATCTATATATAAGATTAATGTGTATGTAATACATAATAAATAAATATCATATATGTATATATTAAAGGATATAGAGGTAAATAACATATATTTCAACGCAGTAATTAACTTTTAACACACTTTTCCTCTTAATTTTGGAGGAATAGATTTTAGTGGGTTGAAAATAAAACTAATCCGTCTATTTTTCTTTCTTACTGAACATGATGTTTTATCTATCTTTTTTACTTTCTATCATTCAATTTTTTCATTGTATCAAACAAAACATAAAAGAAACATAAACCATAGAAATCATTCGTCCAAGGGAGTTGATAAACCTTACTTCCCAATCTTTTAACCCTAATTTATGATATGGAATTGTAAGTCTCCCTTAAAAGTAATCTATATAATGAAATACAGTACAATTTAAATTTCAAAAAATAAATAAAATAACTTTTATTATTCACAATTGAGATCATCTTAAATTTTACTTTAAAGTTAATTTAACGGCTAATATTTACACTCCAAAATTAATAGGAAAAATAGGGTCCTAAAGATGTGTTTGAAGTGACTTTTTAAAAATATTTTTATAAATTATTTCTCATAAGTACTTTAAAAAAAATAGTGTTTAAAACCGCTCCACCATTACCTTTACCACCACCACCACCCCCACCACCATTATTATCCTCGCTGCCACCATCATTATCGCCACCCTACCATACCCTCCACCTCATCACCACCGTCGTTGTCACCATCTTACCACCACCATCACCATTTTCATTGTCCCACCACTATCACCACCCTCCAGCATAATCACCACCACTATAGTTGTCGCACCTTACCACTGTTGTTATTGTCTCACCATCACCCCCATCGCCCCACCACCACTCTCATGACCATGACAACTACCATCACCACCGCCACCCCCACCATCGCCACTGCCCCACCTCCACCCCCACCCATACCCCACTCCCACTGTCGCACCGCCACCCACCACCGATTGCTACCCTCACTGCTCTACCGCCATCCACACTATTGCCATTGCCCCACCTCTGCCCCCACCCCACCGCCATCCACCACCGATTGCTATCATCGTCGTCTATAGCCACCACCAACTGCCCTCATTTGTCATCGCTCACCATTATAGCCACCCACAGTCACCTACCCCCACTATACTTACCACCGCCGCCATTCGCCACCACTCATCACACTGTCGCCTAGAAGCACTCATCGTCGCCCACCACTACCACCACCACCGCCCACACTCACCACCATTGTTATCACCCACGACTGCCACTACCATCATCGTTACTCAAAATCCACCACCATCATCACCATTATCACCCACAGCTACTACCACCACCACGGCCATCGCTTACCCACCACAACCATTACCACTATCCCACCACCACTACCACCGCTCACCCCTATTATAATCGATATTTAAATTTTTTTTATCTCTCCTCTATATTTATAATTTGATTTTAGGTGTAAATATAAATATATTGACCATTTTTTTTATTATTCCGTACCTTCAAACATGAGGAATAACTAATTTTTCAATATTGTAATTGGATTGTTAGCTTAAGGCAAAACCACAGCAGTAGTGACCAAGAAATCACAACGGGCATAGTCGGTAGTACAATTGGTTTATAGTCTTTAACACGTTCCACGAACAACCAGGAATTGAGGGCATCTAAAAAGTTACAGGAAGCTACAATTTCATAAATCCTCGAGCATTACAAAAACCAGATCAACAAAATCTATCAAAATTCAATGGATGATACAAAGCTATTTAAAAGCAAAGATAGAACAAGACCCTTTACGTTTGTCAAATGTTGGTGTCATTCAATCATCAAAGCACAAACAAAACAAATGACATTATTCTGCATAAAGTGACTGCCCTCAGATTTGAATAGACAATCTCAGGGTTATTGGACTAGATTTTAACAAATGGCTCAGTAATTAAAGCAATTCTAAGAAATAGAAGTCCAAATGGGTTAAATTATGAAAGATGGGTATCATTAGCAAATCCGAGATGCTTAAAAGGCATGAAAGAAAGATTAATAGTCAGCCAAGGCGTTGTTGAATACAAGTCTGCAAGCAATAAAGTTAGTGAATTCAATGATGTGTATTTTGCATAAGGCAGATAGAGCAAACTTACCGCCATTGTGTCTCTATTCAATAACAGAGACTTAACACTAGTGACTCGTCTGAGAAGTTCAAGTATCCAATTCGCATATTCTATGCCTTTTTTTAAGGCATATCTCACTCCAACAATTGCTTCATTTAGGGATGACAAGTTCTCCACAAAATAGCTTGCCAACAGATTGTGTTCCAAGATATAAATGTTGAAGATGTGGAGTATTAAGCACAAATTTAATTCCGGGCTGAACATCACGTTGTCTACTCAGTGCTAACATCAATCTCTTCAAAGCAGGGGCAGACAACTCAAAAATCAATTATTGCTCTAAACGTAGAAATCCGATCAAAATTACATCCTCAAGTCCAGGGCAACAACGAAAGAGGTTTTGCATGAACTTGAGAGGAAAAACATCACGTATACGGTTAATGCAAAGGACTTTCAGATTTGGGATCCAAAAGGAGTCAGGAATATCAATCTTGCCAGGAATATCAATCTTGCCATGAAGCCGTAAAACCTCGAGTGAATTGCAAGTGAAAAGACACATGGGCAACTCAATACTCCAGCCAGTGTAGATGTATAGTTCAAGTTCGCGAAGATCACGCCTAATTGCTTCACTCACCAAGATAGCGACACAATTGGGGTCATATTTTGAATAACATGACAGACTAAACTTCTGAATCTGTGCCGAGTTAGATATCAGCACTCTATCTACAAATCCGGCATAACCAAAAAGACTATTCTTTAAATCGTTGTCAGGGTTTAAAAGTTCAGAGAGGTCATCACCACAATGAAGATTAGTGACAGTAGTCCAAAGGTTTCTCCATCTTTTTGAGAGGATGCTGGTTTCAGCTGCAACTTTCAGAGGAAGAAAAGAGAGAATGTGAGAAAGAACTTCATCAGGCAAGCTACTGAGCCGATCAGCTTTACGATTACGAATGGACCTCCGACCCATCTCTGATGTGGTACTCTTTTTCATCAAGAATCAACAAAACAAACACAAATGTCTCTACAATACTCAATTTTCTTCTCTTCTTACACCTGGTTCAGTGGCTTCAAAGATTTAATTTCATAAAAAAGAGAAACAACAAGAAGGTTTAAGGGTTAGGGTTTAAATTTACAGCTATATAATAAAGGGTCAGGATTGCAAAAACAAATTAGGGTATTGGAGGTAAGAGAATGACATACCTCGTTCTATAGCAGAAGGGTTTTGACTGAAGAGAATAATTCCCCAATTGCTTAGGCCCTGAGCATGGAGCTTTGTCTCTGTTTTTTCGGCATTAGCAAAAGAATGTTGCTTTATTTGCGGGCTAATCTCAACTTGAACCTTTAAACATCACTCGAATTTAATTTTTACCCTTAAAATTTAAAAGAGCGTGAATTTTAAAAATAGACTTAAAAACTAAACTTGATAATCTCAATTATTAAATTCACTGTGGATCCAGTATTTATTGGATTCTACTACCTATTCAATGGTTGAGATTATCAAATCTAATTTTTAAGTCTATCTAGCATTACTCAATTTAAAAATATTAATTTATCTCATAAAAGATATAAATACGTAGCAATGTACATCTAACACTAACTTCCATCTATTTTGCCATTTAGTTATAAATTACACTTTCAAAGTTTAAAATTTTCACATTTATGATCTAAAAAGAATTGTATTCATTAATACTTGTTAAATAACTCTTAATTGTATCGTATCATAACATTTTTGTATCATGTTTGAGTAAATTAAAATTATTTTTAACACAAAAAATATTTTATTGTCGAGTTAATTACGTTGTGCTATATATTTCACATTTATGACAATTTATATAATACTATTTAATATTTTTTTAAAATTAAAAAGTACTTATTTTTTTTTCCTATGATACTCGTTAAATAATTATTTTTAGTTTATAGCTATGTTATTCATATTTAACTTTAATTTAATTGGATAATCAAAAGATTTGTGTTTAACTGTAGATAGAAAATAACTATTTAACGAGTATTGTAGGTAAAAAATTGGTATTTTATAATTTTTATAATTTTAAATTTTTTTCTACTTGCTCAAACATGATATGAAGATGTAATGATATAATACAATTGAGAGTCATTTAATGAGTATTAATGGATGAATTTGAATCATAAATATAAAGTATTTAAACTTTGAGAGGTACAATTTATAATTAGTCTAAACTTTTTTAACGGCAAAAATGGACGGAGTTAACTCTAGGTGTACATTGATACGAATTTATCTCTTTCAGAATATAAATTAATATTTTTAAATTTTAAGGGTACAATTAATATTTGAGTAATTTTCCAGAGTACAAGTTGAAAATACTAAGCTAATTTTGTACACAGCCTGAAATGAAATCGACGGTCATAAGGTAAAAATATTTTGACCGCAAATACAAAAACTGAAACATCTCCTCTGAATGAGATTATTTTCAACTGGCCAAATCAAAGAGCTTTTTACCAAATTGAAGTGGTTTGGCAAAAAAATTCCTATAATGAGGTGATTTTTTAAATTAATTTTTAAACCTATGTAATTTTTTAAAAACGTCAATCTAAACGTTTTTAAAATAAAAATGTCAATCCAAATGATATTTTTAACACAAATTAATGCAATATTTCGGGCTAGTTGGTGCGCTTGCGAGAAAAACGCCAATTCAATCTAGTTTTCAATGTCATTAGTTTCTTTTTTTTTTTTTTTTTTTTCAAATTACGTTTGCAAATAACTACATTCTTATCTTCATTTTCATTGCTAACATGTGCAACTGATGATCTGAGAAATGCATTTTGTAAGTGGTCCAAACAACACAGTTGTTTGTTTGTTATATATGCTTAGACTAATAAGGAGATATTTTTTAAAGTTATCATCACTTGAATCAGTAAAGTCGAAAAGTTCAGATCAAAAGTCATGAATGAATCTCCCATAATTTCATCAATAGCATCGTTCATGATCTTTTTTCTTTTCTTCTTTTTATTTTCCAGGATTTGAATGCTCTATCTTTGTGTATTTAATTGCATGAAATCAATACAAGCGTCGTTGCATCTAATTATTCTCACGTTCAAGTCTTGCTATGATATCATCATAATTACTTAAGTTTCATCATACGTACATATCAGCTGAACCTATTTTTGACACCCGTAACTCATACCAATAATAGTATACTTCAAACTCATATCATTAGAACTAAAATTTTCTCCACCTTAGCCCCGATAGATGGTAATAGAACTGTGGCAGAGCTAATAATCACATAGCTGATGTGTGTCAAATTGGCATGAGCTTTGACAACTCATTGCATAAGTCATGCGATCGTCCATACCACGTAATACCATCGAGATCTGTGTAGAATCCATAAAATGGTAGAATGTTTGATGATAAAGGAAGTGAGAATTTTCAGAACCATCCTATTGTGAGAAATTTTTTCCCAAACCACAGGAGTTTGGTTAAAAAGCTCCGAAATCAAAGAAGGGAGTGAAAGTGTTGGACAAAAATCAAGAGAAAATTAGACAAGATTCTTGATTGTTCTACTTTTTGGCAACTGTGTGCCTCTTTGATAAACTCTGACCTACTTGTATTTGGAGTCTAGTAAGTTGGCAATAACACTACCCACTATTTTTTTGGTACCTCTCGATCCTTACAACCACGAATTGTTTTTACTGTTTATTTTGTTTTGCTGGTTGAACAACAATTGGCTTGAATTCTATATTTAGTGATTTTTAATATGTCAAGACTTTCTGCCATTATATTTGATTTGAATATCTAGGATTTCATTTTTAGGGTGTTTTTAATTTTAATAGTTAATTAAGCTAGAGTCCTTCTTTCAGTGTTTAAACTAACTTTAGTCATACCAAAATTTTAATTGTTGAAAAATTTACAACAATAGTGGGAAAAATTTTATGAATGTTTATGATCTATCACAAGAATTTGATAGATCAAACAACAATTTGATCGATTTTTCAAAATTCAATTTTAAATTATGTTTAATAAAAATTCAATTTTAAATTTATTGTTAAAAAAAATTGGATAAATTTTAAAAAATATTAAAATTGAACTTTTATTAAACATATTTTTGATACATCAATTAAACAAAAAAATTTGGTAACACATACCACTGAGGTTGTAATTATTCTCATAAAGAATTCATTCAAATTATAAATATTCTCATAAAAGTGGTAAATAAAAGTGACAATTATTAATATTTTTTAGAATATATCAAAATTATTATTTTTTTTATCTCCAAAATATTTGCGATCTATCCTAAGATCTTGTGATATATCGGAAGGTTGAAGTAGTCTCTCCAAATTTTTTTGAAAAACAATAAGTTTGTGATCGATCAACTCTCCCCACGATCGATCAAATCTTCCCATGAAGTTGTAAATATTTGAATTCATTGAAGTTGTAAAGATTTCCACAAATTTGGTAAACATACCATTGAAGTTGTAAATATTTTCACAAATTTGGTAAATATACCACTGAAGTTATAAATATTCAATTACTAATAATTTTGTTACTATATTGAAGGAATATTTATAACTTGAATGGATTGTTTAACAAATTTGTGGAAGTATTTACAATTTCAATGGATTGTTTACCAAAGTTATGGAAATATTTACAAGTCAGTGGTATTTTTGTCAAATTTGTGGTAATAATTACAACCTCAGTGGTATGTTTACAAAAGTTGTGGGCATATTTACAACTTCAATGGATGTTTTAGTAGTAGTTCATGATCGATCAATCAATATGCATGATCGATCAGAAAACAAATGCTGAATTTATGAATATTTTACAACTAGTCCAAGATGATATACAACTTCAATGGATCATTTATCACCTTTATGGGAATATTTACAAATTTAATGGTATGGAAGTATTTACAACTTTGATGGATTGTTTACCAAATTTATGGAAATATTTACAACTTGAGTGGTATCTTTACCATATTTTGTGGGAATAATTACAACCTCAGTGGTATGTTTACAATATTTGTGGAAATATTTACAACTGCACTGCATGCTTTACTAGTTCATGATGGATCATTAAATATGTATGATCGATCAGGTGCTTAATTTATGAATATTTTACAACTAGTCTAAGATGATATACAACTTCAATGGATCATTTACCATATTAATGGAAATATTTACAACTTTAATGGAGTGTTTATGAGAATATTTACAACCTCGATGGTATGTGTTACCAAATTGGTGGGAATATTTACCACTTTAATGAATTATTTACTATTTCATGATCAATCATTAAATATGATTAATTGATCGGAACACAAAGTTGTGCTTAATTCATGAATTTTTTACAAGTAATCCAAGGGATATACAACTTTAATGGATGATGTACTACTTTTATGGTAATATTTACAACTTTAATGGATTGTTTATGGAAATAATTACAAGTAGAGTGTACGAAATTTGTGGGACTATTTACAAGTGCAATGGAATGCTTACAAATTTAATGGATCATTTACCACTTTTATGGGACTATTTATAATTTTAGTGGTATGTTTACTAGAATTGTGAGAATATTTACAACTTTAATGTATTCTTTACCAGTCGATGATCGATCATTACATGTGATCGATCGATCAGAACACAGTTATTAATTGATGAATATTTTACAACTACTGCAAGGAGATATACAACTTCAATGGATCATTTACCATGTTTATGGGCATTTTTATAGGTTCAATGGTATGTCTTATAAAATTTGTGGAAATATTTACAACTTTCATGGATTCTCTAGTAGTTATGATCGATCGATCGTAGCACACATGTGTGTGGTTAATTAATTTATGAATAATTTATAACTTATCCAAGAAGCTATACAACTTCAATGGATTATTTACTACTTTGATGGGAATATTTACATCTTTATGGGATTATTTATAACTTCAGTGGATTGTTTACCAAATTTTTGGAAATATTTACAACTTCAATGGAATTCCT